TGAAAGAAAAAGGAAGGAAGGAAGAGAAAAAGAAAGAAAAGAGAGAAAGAAGTTAAATACCAGTAGATAAATACGGGAAGATACATACAAATAGACAGACAGACAGACAGACAGAGACATTCTATGCCATTGTTGAGGGCAAAGTTTTGTCAGGAAAGGCTAAGGGGTCAGGAGCCCCGATTTCTCTGCTCCCAGGATTTTCTTCCTGTTAGGATTCCCCAATGCCTGTCCCCCCCTCTCCCCCAGGACATTCAAGGGGGAACATTTCACACATTGATAAAAAGGACCGGTTGCCCTTGACATTTATGGACGATGGGTCCCAGCCCGGTGCTGTGTGTGTGTGTCCTCTCTCTCTCTCTCTCTCTCTCTCTCTCTCTCTCTCTCTCTCTCTCTCCTTTCCCTCTCTCTCTCTCTCTCTCTCTCCCTTCCTCTCACACAGAACCTTCCCTGTGCCATTTACCCCTGCCTGATTAATCAACCCACATGCAGCCTGTGTTTCCAACTTCTTTTCTGTAGCCAGCTTAAGTTTTGTCCCAAGCAGAGGGAAAATAACGCAGGAGATGGAAACTCCTACTGTGCTCAGGCTACTGAAAAGAAAACAAACAAACCAGAAAGCTACACAGATACTTTTCTGTAACTTGTACACAAGACGTACCCAATATATGGGCAGAGAAGAGGAATGGAAATTTTATTTATTTTAATCACATTAAACACAACAAAATGACTCTCTGGTAGTGTAGAAATCAGACCTAAAGACATACATATTTTTAAGAAGTGCAGTTCTCCCCACTGAACCAAGCCTGTACCTCAACTGTTCCATGGTGATAGTTTTAGTTTTAATTAACTTGGAAGAGAATGTCTGCTAAGTTTAACAAGTGCTTCCATATAGGAGGCCCATGGTTACTGGAATGGCTCAGGGTCACCACATCCGTTAACAATTTGGGCTTCACTTGTAAAGGAGCACCAGTTTTCCATTCCAGAATAATTAGAGCCACAAGCATCTCTCTCCAAAGTTGAAGGACCAGTCTCTTAGCATTAGAGCATTCCATTTCCATGGCCTGCAGTCAGGTTTTTTGTCTGTCTGTCTGTCTGTCTGTCTGCCTATCTATCTATCTATCTATCTATCTATCTAATCTATCTAATCTATCTGTATCTCTCTTCTCTCTAATTGTCTGTTTACCTATCCATCATCTGCCTGCCTGCCTATCTATCTGTCTGTCTATCTATCTATCTATCTAATCTATCTGTATCTCTCTTCTAATTGTCTGTTTACCTATCCATCATCTGCCTGCCTGCCTGCCTGCCTGCCTGCCTATCTATCTATCTATCTATCTATCTATCTATCTATCTATCTATCTAATCTATCTAATCTATCTAATCTATCTGTATCTCTCTTCTCTCTAATTGTCTGTTTACTTATCCATCATCTGCCTGCCTGCCTGCCCCCATCCATCCATCCATCCATCCAAATCTATCTCTGTCTCTCTTCTAATTGTCTGTTTAGCTGTCCATCATGTCTGTCTATTGTTATCTCTCTCTCTTCTCTCTAATTGTTTACGTATCCATCACCTGCCTGCCTATCATCTGTCAGTTTTGTTTGCTGCCCATCTTGTTTTGAAGTGACTCTGAATGCTTTCTACCATGTAGTCACTCAAAAGAACATGGATTTTTGAATATGACACCCTACTTCAAAATAGTCAGAAATGCAATTACTTTTCCCTGGAATATATTGCTAGAAATCACCAAACTTCTCTTTTTAGGCAGTTTTCTTCTAACTGTACCTCAAATTCTGCAATAATTTACCTTCGTTGATGCAATGCCCCCTCCAAAGGCTACTTTCAGGGAGGATTTTACATGAAAGTATGTAAATTATTGCAGGATTTCAGGAAACCTATTTCCCGCCACTCTCAGCAGAATGACAAAGTTGGAAGGGAACTTGGAAGTCATCTGTGCCATTCTAGACAAATGACTCTCCAATCTCTTCTATAAAACCTCCACAAGTTCTTCACCAGGAAGGCCTTCAATCCTCAACACAGTTTTTACGTCGTTTATAGGGATGCCTAAATCAACGGAGATCTGGAATCTCCTTTGTAATTCAAGGATTTTTTTTTTCTGGGTCTTAGAGCTTGAAGGGTTTGATGGCTCTAGTTTTAAAAAACCCCAAATAAAATAAAAGTGACATTAACTGCTAAGAAAGAATCAATTGTCACGTCTTCTGCACCCCACTCTGTTAGGGACAAAAAAAGAGTTGGGCCTCAGCCAGATGTTCCAGCTGTGAATCAGCAAAACAGCCAGGAGTCTTGCTTTTAAAACACCAAACCACTGTTTGCATGTTGGGGGAAAAAAGAGAGAGAGGGAGGGAGGGAGAGGGGGAGAGAGAGAGAGAGAAAGAGAAAGGCATCTGCAATAATTACAAATGAGTTGGCTCACCTTTGCCTTGTTAAATTTCCAGTTTCCTGGAGGGTGAATTTTCCTGAGCATCAAAAGACACAACAGCTGTGCGTTGCCTCCTGAACAAATCCCAGGCACCCAAGCCAGTTTTTACCAGTTGCCAAATAACACCTCCAGGTGTGGCAGGTAAAGGAAGAACAGATCTGAGAACAGCATCACTCAGGTGTTGCAATCTACATATATAAAAGCAAAATGCCACTCACGCATTATCACAAAATCTCCAGAACTGGAAAGCCTACAAACTTGAAATTTGGCACACAGGTTCCTCTTGGCTTCTAGGTGCTCGCTAAGAAAGGATTTTTCAAAATGACCCTCAGAGCATTTATTATTATTTCCTGTATTATTATTTAACATGCTCTGATGCTGAGGAGTTCTACTCCCCCTCCCCACCTGAAAAGAAATCTCTTTCAAATGCAAAACACAAGCAAAGGAGAGGAGTTTCAGTTTCAGTTTTACAGCAGCAAGCAGCTTTAGTACAGAATAGTTGAGCTAAGCCATGCCCAGGCTCCTTGCTGTCTACTTGCTCACACAGCAAATACTGTTTCAGTTTCCATGTTTTGGTTTCCAAACAGCCCTCAACTCTCTCATGCACTGACAGGACGCTAGCCAGATGAATACCGATAGATGCAGAATTTTTTCCCCTTATTTTCCTCCCGAAAAACTAAGCCCGACCGCATAGTTTCATAGCGAAGCACAGCTAGTGAATATAGACATATATATATATATATATATATGTGTGTGTGTGTGTGTGTGTGTGTGTGTGTGTGTGTGTGTTCCACTTGGTCCTGCACACACCCATATCTTTTCCCCCAAAGGCTCCTTCCATAATTTCTCTGTTCCTTGGCAATTTCTCCCTTTTAAAAAATAGTTGTGGTTGCACACAGAGAAGATCCGAGGTCCCGCGATCGCCACTTTCAACCAATCCCAGCCAGCTTTTGACAAGCAAAGTCCATGGGGGGGGGGGGGGGAATTCATTTAATGAACCTCTGATTCACTTAACAACTGCAGTAATTTGCTTAACAACCATGTCAAAAAGGTCATAAAATCAGGTGCTTATTTAACGGCCTTTTTTAGCACTGGAATTTGAGTCCAGATTGTGGTCGTAAAGGCTACCTGCACTAAGCTTGGTTTTAACCACGTTTAACCTCAATTGAGCTAGTTTGGGACTCTGCATCTTGTGCAAGTCCAGGTTAAGGTGTAGTTTTTCATTTGTTTCTTGGTTGTCTTGTTCTGGCTTTTTCTCCTGTGAACAATCAACTCTTCAGTATCTTCATAAATGACTTTTAAATGAGGGAATAGAAGTGGAACTCTTCAAATCAGATGACACTAAGCTGGCAGGAGTAGCCAACACCCCAGAAGACAAGCTCAGAGTCCCAAAAGATCTTGGCAGACTTGAACAATGGGCTCTTATCTAACAACAGGACATTTAATGTGGAGAAAAACAGGGTTTTACACCTGGGCAGGAAAAACCAAAGGTACAAGTAAAGATTAGGCGAAACCTGGCTCAAAAACAGTAACTGTAAGAGGGACCTTGGAGTCCTAGTGGACAATCCCTTAAACACGACCCAGGAGTGTGCAGCAGCAGCCAAAAAAGCCAACACAATCCTAGGCTGCATTAAGAGAGGCATAGAATCAAAATCGAGAGAAGTATTGCTTTATAAAAACCATAGGAAGGCCTCGCCTGAAATACTGCATCCAGTTTTGGTCACCACATCACAAAAAAGGTGTTGAGACTTCGGAAAAAGTGCAGAGAAGAGCAACTAATATAATTAAA